AAAAAAAAAAAAAAAAGATGATAATAATTTACAGCCTCACCTGATGTATATACAAGCAGTATTTGTTTCCCTATAACCTTTCAGCATGAGCTACTAGCATTTTCTTTCTTTCTTTTTTTTTGAGTCAGGGTCTTGGTCTGTTGTGCAAGCTAGAGCATAGTGACATGCTCATGATTCACTGCAGCCTTAACCTCCTGGGCTCAAGTGATCCTCCCGCCTCAGCCTCCTGAGAAACTGGGACTGCAGGCGTGTGCTACCATGTTCACCTGCTTTTTTTTCCTAGAGATGAGGTCTTGAGGTCTCACTATGTTGCTGAGGCTGGTCTTTTGAACCCCTAGGCTCAAGCAATCCTCCCCGCTTGGCCTCCTAAAGTGCTGGGATAACAGGTGTGAGGTATCTCCAACCCCAACGCCCCTGCCCGGCACAGCCTTCATTAGCATTTTTATTTTCATTTTGTATTTTTTTCAATTTTTTAAGAATCTATATACTTATAACTTCAGATACTTGTTCGGAAATTACATGATATTGTAATGTATCTACATCTCTGATAATACAGCAGGCAAACAGTACTGACGGGTGGTTTGATTTACATTTCTTTAATCACTACTGAAGTTAATGATCTTTTCATGTATTTTTTGTCATTTCTATTCCTTGATCTAGTGCCAGCTCATGCCCTTCATACATTTACATTTTTTCTTTTTTTTTGAGTTGGAGTCTCACTCTGTCACCCAGACTGGAGTGCAGTGGCCACTCCCGGCCACCGCAGCCTCGCCTGCTGGGCTCTGGCGATCCTTCCGCCTCAGCCATCCGAGTAGCTGGAACTATAGGCGCACGCTACCACGCCCAGCTAATTTTTGATTTATTGTGGAGCTGAGGTCTCGCCAAGTTGCCCAGGTGCATCTCGAACCCGCAAACTCAGGCAATTTACTCTCCTCAGCCTCCCAAAGCGTGGTATTAAAGGCTGAGCCACTGAGCCTGGCTTATATTTTTTGATATATACAAATTTAGTCAAGTCTTTTCACAAGTGTGTACTGCTAATTATGAGAATTAGATAATATGTTATAGATTTGACTCCGAAAGGTGCCGGAGATTCTAAGTGTCAGAGTTGGAACTTGAAGCGAATCTCACGTAACTCCAGAGTCCATAAACTCTCTCAGCCGCTCCTCCAGGGTCACCAAAGTGTGGTCTCCGTGCAACAGCAGCAGCAGCATCACTTCACCTGGAACTTGCTAGAAGCGCACACTCCCAATCCTCAACCCAGACCTGAGAGTGAGGGTCAGCAGCCCCTCTGCACAAGCCCCACAGGGGCCCTGAGGAGCCCAGCGTCCCTTCGCGCTCTCCTCTCCTGGGTTTCTGGTGGCGGGGACTATGCCCGATGGCTTGGTCTTTGTGTCACTATGACAGGACACCACGGCTGGGTCATTTCCTTCCTACAGTCCTGGAGGCTGTGAAGTCCAGTGCACGCATCTGGCAAGGGCCTTCCTGCTGTGGCGTCCTGTGGAGGAGGGCGGGTGGGCAGGAGCGAGCGCAAAAGCACGGGAGGGAGCCACACTCGCTTCTGAGACAGCTCACTCGGACCATGCCGAGCCCACTCCTGAGAGAGCCACGTGAACCCATCCATGAGGGCAGAGCCCTAGTGACCTCATCTCCTCTGAGACGACCCCACCTTCCAACACTGTTGCCTTGGGAATTAAGTTTCCAACACATGCAATGCTTTGGGGGATGCATTCAGACCGTTGGAGAAAGTAAGGCAAAAAGATAAATAGGAAAACAGCAGCCATGAGGAGAAGGCAGAACATCAGGGAGTGACAAAGGAGCACCGGTGCTGCCCCAAGATACGGTCCAGAACTCCTGAGGTCTAGCCACCACCTCCTCCCCTGCACGGACTCAAGGACGCAGATCCCCACGGGCTGCACTGGCGTCCCCCCCGCTCTGGAGGGTGGAGGAGAGTGAGGCTACCTTCCCAGCCGACCCCCTCAGCTAGGGTGCTGCAGGTTGGCCGCATGTCTTGACCACATGCTGCCTCGTGCAGGTTCGGGTGAGCCCTCCTTCCCGGGCCCAGCTGTGAGGAGCCCCAAGGCTCCGCACTGTCCCCAACACTCCGGCATCAGACTCTTTTGACGGACCAGCTTGAGGGGGCCATCGGTTTCCTCTGGGATTTGTGATTATGAGTTGGGGATGGGGATCGCACTTGGCTGCTCAGGCTGGTCTCAAGCTCTGGGCCTCAGCTGATCCTCCCACCTCAGACTCCTGAGGTGCTGGTCTGACAGGCACGAGCCGCTGTGCCCTGCTGCTTCCTCCAGGACCGTCTCTGACAACCTCTAAGGCACTTTGTGGTCCCTCTGTATTTCCCCAATCTCCTCTACTTCGGGTCATTTTGAGGTTGGTTGGGTTCTTTTCTCTCTCTCTTTTTTTTGAGTTAGGATCTTGTTCTGTCACCCAGAACAGAGTGCAATGGCAACGGTCACGGCTCACCACAGCTTCAGCCTCCTGGGCTAGGCTCAGGTGATCCTTTCACTTCAGCCTTCCGAGTAGCTGGGACTGTAGGTGAGTGCCATCATGCCCAGCTATTTTTTTTTAGTTTTTGTAGAGACAAGGTCTTGCTATGTTGCCTAGGGTGGTCTCGAACTGCTGGGCTTGAGCAATCCTCCCGCCTTGATTTCCTAAAGTGCTGGGATTACAGGTGTGAGCCACTGCACCCGGCCTGGTTGGTTTGTTTAAAGTCCCAGGAATGCACCAAGATCTCTGCTGCTTCAGGACCTTTGCCCGAGGGCCATCTGCTTCATGTCTCAGCTGATGTCCTTTTCCTCTAGAGGCCATTACAGACCTCCATCCAAAGCCAGGTGCCCCACGTATGATCTCATACACCCTGCTCTCTTCTTTCACAGCACACCCCTCAGTTTGTAGCTGTACGTCCGTGTGCCTTTGCTCACTGTCCTTTTAAGTGGTCTGTGATCTCCATGAGGGTAGGCCCCATATCTACTTGCTTTACAGTTATAACAAACCTTAGCCTTTGTCACAGAGTCTGGCACATAGCAGGTACTCACTAAATCCATAATGAACACATGACTTTTAGTGCTGCCTACTCCCCATCCTTTCAGTCATACATTTGGACTCCAGGAGAGAGTTCCTGCTCAAAAGCACTGGCAAGTTGCTCTAGCTCCTGCAACACGCAGCTCTTATCACCGGCTGGCGGGCAGAGCACTAGCCAGCCCAACAAAGCACAAGAACAAAATCGATCCCACAAATCCTCTCGCAGACACCCACTCTCCATTTCCCATTTCCCACTTCTTCAGGTGTGAATTGAAGGAGGAAGGTAAGACTCAACAAGCTGCAGAGTTGGGATATACACTCAGGCGGGAGGAGTACGGCAGTCTGCCTCCACAACCTTGGCAAGACTACTGCTCAGATGCTAGAATATGCACAGACAGGCGGATGGCTTCCTGGGGCAGTGTCAACAACTGGCGCCTGGCGCCCACACTGTGGTCTCCACCAGCGTTTACTCAGCCATCCCGTTGTTTCAACAAACGTTGCCTGAATGTCTACTACGTACCTGTTATGCCGTGCACAAAGGTAAGGGAATCACCGTCGCTCTTGTCAAGACGTTTAAAAGGAGCTGAGAGACAGTCAAAAATCGATTGTGCAGCATGCCACTGTTATAAACAGTCTACAGACAGAAGTAGAGGCGACAAAGGATAAAGGGACCTCTAGTCCCACAGAAGTTTCGCGGAGAAGGCAGCCCTGGACGGAGGCTTGATGCGTCAGCAGTGGCTTGCTGGGCCAGCGAAGAGGGAGCACCTTCCGGGGGGGAAAGCCACGTGCAGGGCACTGGAGGGGACTCGGGTTTTCGAATTCCTGCCACGGGGCGCGCGGTGGGAGGTGGTGGATGCTCAGAGGGACAGAAAAGCCAGCCCGGCTTAAGTCACAAAGGCTCGGACAAGGAGCCCGGCGAGTGACGCGGGGCAACGGTCAGCCACCGGCGCGCTTCCAAGTCGCAGGGCA